GATCTTGAAGGCGTTGAACGCGTCGTCTGCTATCAGTCGCGTCAGCTGCAACCAGCTGAGCGGAACTATCCAGTGCATGACAAGGAACGCCTTGCCATGAAGTATGCACTTGCGAAGTTCAGAGTCTATCTATTAGGAGATAGACCCTTCATTGTTTACACTGACCATGCGTCATTACGCACGACAGTGAACAGACCGCACCTTTCACAACGAATGGCGCGGTGGTTGTCATTCTTTGCGGAATACAACTTTACGGTCGAGTACAAACCAGGACGACTTAATGTCGTCGCTGATGCACTCTCACGTCGTCCCGACTTTGAAACAGTCGCGAAACCCAACAGTGAGACAGTCACTGTTGCGGTTATGACGTCCTCAGTTCCATCTACAACGTTGTATGATGATGTGAGGCGGGCATACGCCCAAGATGGTGAGATTGTGAAGTTGTTGACACATCTCTCCCAACCATCTCGAGAATCTTTGAAACGATTGTCGCCTGCGTATCGATCTGCATCAGATCGATACACTACTCGTAACGGTTTACTGTATTATACAGCCGTTTCTGGTGACACACCACGTGTTGTCATTCCAGATGATACTGATCTGCGTTTGCGGATCATGTTCGAGTATCACGATGCTTCTAAAGGAGGACATTGTGGCCGGGAGAAAACACATTTCACGGTGAGTCGAGACTTTTACTGGACCCGCCAGTATCAGTTTGTGTGAAAGTATGTTCGCGCATGTGAAGTCTGTCAACGAGTGAAGTCAAGTCCTTCACTTCGTGCACCTTTACAGCCTCTACCGGTTCCGGCTGAGTGCTGGGAATCCATCTCAATGGATTTCGGCTTCGGGTTACCCAAAGACGCACGCGGGAATACGGGTATTCTCGTATTTGTTGACAGATTCAGTAAAATGGTACACCTTGGGCTGTACCCGAGTCAAATCACGGCAATTGGCTGTGCTTGTGTCTTTATCGACACCACCTGTCGACTTCATGGGTTGCCCCGTGAACTCGTATCAGACAGAGATCCACGCTGCACTGCTGATTTCTGGCGTTCCGTGTTCAAATCACTCGGAACGCGCTTGAAGATTTCGACATCTGATCATCCAGAGTCGGATGGTCAGACGGAACGAGCCGTTCGTGTCCTCGAAGAGATACTTCGAGTATACGTACACTCCTTTAATAGTTGGAGCGAGTTTTTGCCAATGGTAGAGTTTGCCATTAACAACTCGGTGCATGCGTCCACGACACATACACGGTTTTACGTGAATGGCTTACGCCATCCGCGTGTACCCACCTTACTAGAGTGTTACTCTAGATTAAGAGGGGGAGGGAATCGCGCGAGCAAAAACCGATTTGGTTCACGCTCATCACTCTCTGACGATGAGGTCAGTGCGTTTGATGCCGATATCGATAACATCGATATCGAAGAAGATGAAGCCAGTGAGTGCGAGGAAGCCCTCACTGAAGAAAAGTTGTTGTCGCTGCAGTGCACTCACAGCGCACTGAAGCTAACGAGTCATCAGATGAGTCCATACTGGCTCGTGAAACGGTAGTCCGTTTTGTGCAAGACTCCATTGCCGAAGCGGTGGATAAGCAAAAGCAAAACACAGACAAGAATGGAAGGGCAAACACTCTTTTATTTAATAAAGGTGACTTAGTCCTACTAACCACGGTTAACTTACCAGAGCACGTAGTGACTAACTTGGGTAGTAGTAAAGTTCTACCCAAGTACATCGGCCCATTTCGTGTATTGCACCGCCTAGGCAACGCATACACGAACGAACTGCCACGTAAAATGCGAACGCATCCCGTTTTGCGTTGGTCGGCTTAAGCCGTACCATCAGTACGGTGTTTCTTCTGATGAAGAACGCCCTTGCGCTCAAGCATCTCACAGAGGGCCTTGTGCTCCCGATGGTGGATATCAACAAGGGTCTGAAGAGCAGTTATCTCAGATCGAGACCGGTCAATATCCACACGAGCTACCCTTAGCTCGTCATGCAGAGATGTAAAAACTCACTCGTTCCCAAGATAAGCAAAGGCAAACTCAGCTCGATGCTTCAAGACAGTGTCCGCCAGTTGGAGACGCCTGTCCCGCGCATGCTCGAGGTCGCCGCGTAACGCAAGAGTTACGCAGTCAAAGAGGCTCTCGGGGATACACGCTCCCCCACGATAGCTAGTAGAGCGTCTTTTCTCCTCCTCCACCTCCATTAGAGGGCTCTCGCGGTGGCCAGCGCTATCTGGTTGAGCAGCTGTTGAACCACCGCGATGTGAACGGACGTCGGACGAGTTATCTCGTCAGGTGGCGCGGCTATCCCCCGTCCTGGGATACTTGGGAGCCCCGCTCCCAACTGATGATTGACGTACTGGGTCTGGTTGAACAGTACAACGCGGCACATCCTGTGCCGCAGAAGGACCGCCGGAGAAAGTCTTCTCGGCACGGTCGTAAAGGGATTTCAGGCTGTCATTCCCTCTGTACATCTCACTAGAGATACGTACGCGTCACCACGGGCTAGTAAGGAGGTAAGCCTCCTTAGTTGCGCGCGCAGAGTTGTTCACACAACAAGGGCACAAGTCTTCCCAGGAAAGACAGGGTAACCCACTCTCCCTAGACAGACGATGCAGCGTGCACCTGTCGGTGTTCGCTTTTCAAACTTATCACGAGCTTTGATAAGTTTGTCGTTCCAAACGTCACGACCAACATCCTCAAGGTTATGGATGTAGGCGTTCCACGCTTGAAGCAGTGAGGGACCATCACGTTTGTGATTCCCACTGTACCATCGATGTTTGAAATAAGCATCGATGAAGAACTCATTCTCAACGCGATAGTTTTTCGCACTGGGGTCAAGGTGATGGATCCTTGACGAATCGAACAATCGTGTTCGATAGCGATCACTTGTCGTCGCCGACAAGTGATCCATGACCGACTTCATAGGCAGCTATGCTTTCTTTTCGGGAGCGAGATGCAACACACTGCGGTCCCGCTCTTCCTGCGACGTGCCGACAGAAGTACTGGCACCTCGTTGCGAAGTGGTGTCAATAGGAGATCCGACACCACTGCTAGCGCCCGAGTCTCGCGACCTCTAGCGCCTTCGCTTCGGCGATGGTTCATCTGATTCGTCAGACAAACTAAAGATGCTGCGACGCATAGCATCATCCATGCCACGCTTGGCAGGCGGCTTGGTTTCGATCGCCGTCGATACGGATCCGTCTTCCGTATCAGGAGAGTATGAGACACCGAGCTCATACTCTGTGAAGACATGAGTGTCTTCATGACGAGCGTCTGCATCACCAGGTGATACAGGATTAAACTCTATGGCAACCGATGGCACATCGTTTGCAGCGGTTTCTGCTTCGGCGTCCGCACAGAGACGTGCAGACGCGCTCTCGGCTGCCTTGCTCGCGCACCGCATGGGCTTGTTTACCATGCGATGAAACTGATGGACTGTGGACTCGGACCAACAAGTGCAAACCCCGTCCCAAATGATTTGGTACGAGTTTACTTTAGTCAATCAGTCAACAAAGTGACTGATGGTTAAGGGGGGGGGTGATGTAACGGGGTGAATCGTTACATAACAATTTATAAGAAATTGTTAATAGAATATAACTATAAGAGTTACATTCTCAGAATATTGTCATAAGGACAAATATTCTGTAGCACTTACAAGTAGTTCCTCAAGACGCGCCACGACAGACGCACGCAATGAGTGGTGAGCAGATAACTGATTTACACATTTGTATTTAGACATAGTTAGATGAAGATAAATAGTGATTTATTGCAGACATTAACTATACTAAATACAGTTCTACTTTTTACTTTAATCAAGTACTCACTTCTTCTTACCGTCTTCCTCTGCACGTACCAGTGTACGTGAAGTTCCAAGGCACCGCCTCATTCTGTCATCGGAATAAGTAGCTTGTACTGTCATCAGTACAAGCTTCAGGGTGCCCCGTTACAGGCTCGGTATGGCTTAAAAATGCGACCTCTAAAACCAACAGGTATGGACCATCTCTCCTCCCGTATATTTGGCGTATTAGCAACTGGATGCACATCTACCTTTGCATACTGTTTTTGCAAAGTCAAAATGTGGTGGACTACTTGTGGTCATTGCGCCATTTTACGAGAAGTTTTCCAGAATTTTTATATTGAAGATGAGCTCACGTTCGTCAAGGATTGAGAGCTTGCGCAGATGAATGCGCTCACGCATACTTTTCCCAATGCTTCATGTTTGCTCTGGTGGTGGCATATCAGCAAGAACTTTTTGCCAAGCAGAGGAGAGCCTTTTAAAACTGGATGCCTGGGAATGGATCGTCCAGGCTTGGCACGGGCTTGTTGCTGCCACAACCATAGTTGATTATAGGTCTTAGCATGCATCAATGCATGTTGCATTCCCTATCGTCTTAATATACACCCTTGATTTTTTTCGGCGTGTGTACAACGAAAATTTTGTTTCTGTTTTCTTATGAAATTAATGCCAATATGGCAACGTTTCGACGTCTCGTGTAAAGAGTGCTCATGCTGCTCCAACAAAAAGGAGTATCTGTGTGAATCGGAAAGGTGGTAAAGTTTTGAGGTCTTGGCTTTGATCTTTTTATTCGATGAAGAGTTCCTTATTGCAGGTGATCTGTGATCAGTGGAACTAGCGGTTCACCTTGCATCTGAAGGTCATCTTGCTTGCTGTAATAATGGACGAAATGCAAAGCAGCATGTCATTGTTCGTATGCACTTTAAACCGAGGTATTTAAAGTGATATGTAAGATATCTGTAGCAGGTCTGAAGGCAGCGCAAACGCTGTATCGTTAGGAGTTCGCGAAAACGGGAATTGTCAACGTTTGTATACTGAAATTGACGTGCCGTTGACTGTGACTGACTGAAATTGTCGATTTAGGATCGCTAAAATCCATGATAGACCATTCATGTGCTCATGAGTTTTGTCGCCAAGTGATGCCATTGTCAGTCAGTAATTTTGATTGACATTGGTGGCTGGTGTAGCCGACACAGATGCATGTTGAGTATGTGCAAGTTGATTTTCATACGGGATTGAAGAGGATTGCAGAAGAAAACGATAATGCCCTAAAGCATCGTACGTATGACCCTATCTTGGCAATCCTAGAAGTCGGTTTTTGCAATCATCTCAAGCTTATAATTGTCGTCGACCAACGGGGTCAACGCTGCAACTTCTATCACAGTTCGAGCATGTTGCCGCTACGATGGAAGCTCCTGTGCGACCACGGCAATGTCGGACTTGCCAGCGGACAGGTCACAGTGCCCGAAGGTGTCGTCGTGAAGCACAAGACGCAGGACCCAAACACCAGCAGCAACGACAGTAGATTCAGAGGCACTAAATTGTGGGGTTTAAAGATGCGAGCAGCGACCTGTTTTACATAACATCGCAATCACATAGCTCATGATGACACTTCGCGGCTGTCTACCGTCCCATCAGTTATGACTATATTTGTTTTGCTTTCCGGCAACACGATCTTGCATACAACACGATTTCAAAACAGAGGTGTTTGAGCTGCATTGCTAATTCACCTCCACTTTCTTCTTCTAAGCAGCACTAAACACCCTGTTCATAGCTCGAAAAAAACAAAAGTACTTGTACCATTAGCGTTTTGTTCAGCAGAATACTCACATCGAAACTTAACCCGCACTGGGTCTCCTGTCTCCTGCATTGACAGGAGACCCAGTGCGGGTTATGCTTACATCACTAAACACCCTGTTCATAGCTCGAAAAAAAACAAAAGTACTTGTACCATTAGCGTTTTGTTCAGCAGAATACTCACATCAAAACTTGACCCTCACTGGGTCTCCTGATTTCTGCATTGAGGTAACAAGCGCAAAATTAATCCAGCCAAGTTTCGAGACAAACTCGATGAGCGCCAACTATTCCGTGTGGCCCTGCTAAAACCTAAGCATAATCTGCAATGGCAACCAGTACGCACTGTTAGTGGATTCTCGTCAATTCTCTGTTGCAGCAATAACCTCCAATTCTCACAAGAATTTGCCAGCAATAGACGATATGTGATATACACGAACATCCCCGTAAAGACCAGCAGCCGCTTGAACCATTCCGTGGCCATAAGGAGACACGCTGCCAAATCAGCAAACACGACACGCAAACAAATAGATTAGTCACCGGGATCACCGGCTTGTATAACGTCTATAGCAACAGCATTAAAGCGACACCAGCTCGATACCATGTCAATCAACTAAAAGCCAAGAAGCGCGATAGTCTCTTCGCGACGTATAAATGGTTGAGTAATTATGATGAGATGCTCCCATTTTATATATTAACCAATAATTTTCGAAAATTTTGGGACTAAGGGGCAACTAGCAAGAAGGTGGTAAATTACTTGCTGTTTCCTACAAAAATCTATTCGACCACGAAAACTATCCCAGATAATTAAAAAATACAAATGATGCCCCAGATAATTGAATGTGAAAAATGCCTTAAATATAATGAGAAAATAAAAATTGTCCCACGTTTTCAAAGACTCAAGTTATCGTGGTACACATAAAAATGCATACCTCATACCTTTTCTCACTATCCCTTATTTGGCCGACCTGACCCCCCCTGACCTGCTGCGATACCGCGTAGGAGGTTCTGCCGCGGGCGTGTTGCGCTTGCAGCCACTACCACAGATGGTACATGTAAGATGTAAATGCGTCTACGTATCGTCGACCGCGGCCATAAATGCGAAAAATCGAATTTGAATTTGTTTCAGTTGACAGTATTGTTTTTGTTTTCGTTTTCGTTTTTGTTATCAATGATGTTGGTTTATTATGCCATATTTAATGTTTTTGTTACTTTTTTCAGTTGGCGTGTTTTTTTACTGTCGATGTTGTTGTCGTCGGTACTGCTACCGCTGGGTCTGTAGCCGATGTTTTTGTTGTTTTAAGTGGTGTATGTTTTTATAGGCTCTTTTTATAATGCTGTCAATTATGTTGGTGTTGGTGCTGGTAATGTCTATTTTATGTTACTACTGTCAGTTTGCGTGTTGTTACTACTGATACATAGTCTTGTTGGTACTACAGTGCTGCTGCTGTGTTTTTTTAGCTAAGTGATAGGAATAGGTTTCCTGCTGTATGCTACAGTTGCTTGAGCTTTGAAAATCATTTGAAAGACTACCGCAAATTCATTTTACCTGTTCGAATCTTATTTCCTAATTCGAAAAGGCTTCACCAGTGTTGATGGCGATATCCAAGTGCTGTTAGAGGGGGTAAGTCGGTGCTGTTGATGGTTTTATTATCTCCAAGGGCAACACGCTGGACGTGGAGAGCTCAAGAGGTTATGACAACACGCAAAAGGCGTTCGATTTGGTCGACGTTTAGCACACTCTCGCATACATATCATAGTTTAAAGAAATAAGTGCACTCTGTTCTAAACGTATTATACGGACTTCAACAAAAGTTTGTCGGATTGAATCCGCCAGCACTTGTTATGCAACTCTTTAACGGTAATATCTGGTGCCACACCACCTGCTGCGTTGTTCTATGTGCTACAAACTACTTTTTGTATTCTTACAAAGTTAATCGGTAGTAATCAGTTGCGCTTATAAATGCAAAGGATCTACAATCCCGCTAGATTCGACCTAAGTTTTCTCTACGTCACCAAGTTTTTTCCGCTTTGCAAATTGCAAAAATGTATCGACATGATGTACCTTTGATACGCGAGCATAGCGTACGTCCACTCTGTCACGATTAATAATCGCGTGATCGTAACAAAGGGTTCATCTGTTTTACAAAGTCCGACGTTTCAGCATATAGCGTATGAAGAGTATTTATTTTAGATTAAGCCCAACATCGAAGCCAATGTCGTTATCTTTGTGCCATGCTAAACTAGAGTATACGTGGACTTACGGCATTACTAAATTTCTCATCAGGTAATATCATACCCTAGGCTTGACATTTACTTTAACTGTGTTAAAATGATACGGGATCGTACAAAAGTGTAGCAAGCTATCCCTATGTGGCTTCCGAACACAGATTGTATCAGTTTTCCACAAAGAACTACAGCTGTTTCAAAAATGCAAAACAATTTTACTATCTAATTATAAAAGACAATGTAAGTTACCCTCATCAGGAGCACCCAGTGAATGAATCTGTGGCGGTATCTTAGTACAAATGACATGCAGTAACAATTGCCTTAAGCATCACCACGACCGAAGTAACCCGCAAAACGACACGGATTTATCCTGACTACGTCCGATACCGCGATACGTCTTCATACGTTCAAGTGTCTTGCGTTGCGTCCGAAAATATCCCCACTTCTCTTCGACATCCCTCGCCTCGAGTGCTCTACAAAGCAAGTCAGAGATCTTCTTGTTGCATGAGGCGGTCGAGTTTACTTGCGCAGCTCTGATCTCTGAGGAAGAACAAAGATCTGCCATCAGCTTGACAGTTTCCTCGTGTCCCATGTCCACTGCGTTCTTCAGCGCACGACTGACATTTGATTGCTGAAGATTCACTGTCAGTATAACCTTCACGACGTCTGTCAGACCTTGCGACGCCGCATCTTCAAGAGCTCGACCGACATAGTACCAGCTACAGTTTTCTCGCAAAACTTCTCGCAAGGCGTCTGTATCACCAGAACACGCAACGGCCTGCACCCCGTAGGTAATCTTGTATGGCTCATGATCGCTTCGCCCGCGATTGCGTCGACAGAGCCACTTCACTATGTCAACGTGACCATTCTTTGCTGCAGCATTTAAAGCTCCGCTCGAGCACCTTCCAATGTAATGATTGCAAAGCCACTTTACTACCTTCAAATGCCCGTTTTTTGCCGCTCCGTCGATCGCTGCAATGGTGCAGCCCTCATTCCGTACTACTGACAGCCACTTCACAATATCAAGCCGACCTCTGGCAGCAGCTCCATCCATAGCCTTAGCGGTCCATTGTCTTGTTGCTCCATGTGCGCGAATGATATGATGGCAATCATTGTAAACAGCAGCGTCGATGGTCTGCGGCATTAGCAACTCACTGATGCGTTGCACTACATGTGAAAGCGCCCTGACATGATCTGGGAGGGCACAAGCAACACAAGTAAGCTGCGGTCCTTTCATACTTTTGGCTTGTGAAAAATAGAATCCAAGTCATTTTCAATCTATGGGACGCGGCGATAAGTTCTCTGCGATACATGCATGTTTCGGCGATGGATTGTCACCTACATAATCGTTGGAACGATAACTGTAAGATCTCGCTCACGGAAAAGTAGCAGAATATCCATGTTTATGAGACAGCCGACTTCTTGGCGAGAGCAGTTGCGAACATGACGGAGCTCACACAATTTAGACTCTTGTGTGTTCGATACTTCTTCTGACCCCCACACTGACGCATGTTTTGCACTCGCTGGATTGATAGTGTCATTGGATGACATCCACTGAGTGAAGGTGGCAGTCGTGAGCGCCATCATGATACTAAGCAACGCCACAACAAGGTGGTTTTACACATCTCAGTTTAAGCGGTTCTTCTTGACAAGAGAAAGTGTAGTCGATGGAGCTCTCACGGGCATAAATTAGACAAAAGGAAACAGAAACATGTCAATGTGTTCCCGATTAAATAGTATCCATTTCTTGGCCATTCTTTTATTGCAAGTGCGGTAGTTAATGCGTAGAAGATATCGAAACGAAACATCGTTGTGCTTGCAAAGATCTATCGGAAAACATTAGCTTAATGTCGTGCGTTAAGCAGGGGGAAGGATCAAAGCATCATCTTTGAACATACAGGGCGACATCGATCGGCATACATGTTGATTTAGCTGCATAGTCTAACGCCGAAGATGTGACACAATTTATGGAACTCTATCAGATGATTCTTGTTAGAGCCACAGGTACCCAGGAGCGCGATTACTTCTTCGTCGAACGGGTATGATATCGATAGGCATCAAGTTAATCGGATGCTGTGCTGATCCTCGATCTCCGTAATGAAATAAAACCGTCATTTTATATTGTAGTCACTTAGTCCGGCAGAGAACCGCGTAACAGCCCATCTTACCGGTCGTGTTCATACAACTCTCCACAAACATCACCGACCATTAGCCACATATAACAACCGCATTGCGTAAGTTCACTGAACCATTAGTGGAAGTGATTGATGCGGGGCGAATCCAGCACCGTACCCATTTGTCGAATTTACTCATTCTACATGATCAACGATTGATGGATGGATATGGAAGCGATAAGGACGAGTTCCCGTCTTAATCGTGCAAACGATACCCAAGTATGGTTCATCTTGCACCGGTTTGAAACTAGCCATTGCCGTCATACGGTAAAAGGTAACGACTGAAAGGGAATAGCGAGATAGTCCGGGTCATAACAGCAGACACATTACTGGGACAGCCGGGCAGCAGAAGCTTGATCAGTCAGCATATGACATCGTCAAATTTGCTGCTTGATCCCGTTCAGAAATAATTATTGATTATTTAGGCTGCGCGGTAGTAGTTAGTCGATTCAAACATGCGCTTTAATTATGCAAGCCGTGTTCTTTGCTCATCGTTTGCCGCACAATCTAAACATCACTGTCTTTAGTCTAGGATCGTGGTCATGGCTGGTGCCCATAATATGCGACTCAACTAAAAAGCTTAAACGTTTCTGGGGTCTTGCAATAGTCATTAATGAAGCGTGCGGCACAAAGGCTCTTGAACGCTCTATGTTGGCTACTGACAATTTGCTCAGCGCTGGAAATTTAACAGCTAAAAACTAACGCGTGTCTTCTGCAATGCAGACATGTTCCAGGAAAGACCTATGTGAAGTACAGGTATCTCAGTTTTTCTTACGAATGACATCTTAATTGTTGCATGACAATCCGTCGATGACCAGATGCAGCCTTCATCATGCACCACTTCATTTGCGAAGGTATCACAAGCCTTTCGTCGCAACACGCACAGTTGAGACTAAGGTAGGCGATTTAGAGTTGTGCAATGTTAGGGGCCGTCCCATCTTTGTTAATACCCCGTGTGGGAAGCGGAAAGTGCAAGAACTGCCACATGTGTAACGGGGTAGATTATTGACACCAAACGGTGTCAATAGAGATATTGTCTAGCATGACAATATTCTACCGATATTATCCATGATAGATAATGTTGAAGGAATAGTATCCTTCTTTGTAGGATACTATTCACGTGCTGCTCAAAGATTGGTTGATATTACAAATATCAACCAAGGTTACCACCGATCGCTGCTAGACGCGCGAAATGGGTGATGAGCAAGTTGTCGTCATACGACAATGTAGATTACTATAGTTAGATGAAGACTGAACTTATATCGATACCTTAACTATACTAGATACAGCTCTCTTTTTACCCTTTCTTAAGCTAGCTGTTTGAGTAGATTAGCTTCCTCTGCACGTACTAGTGTACGCAAAATTCTTTGCACCCAAGCAAAGGGTTCCCCGGTGCAACATGCCTCACATCTCATTTGTTAGACTTTGTGCTGATTTCAAGCGGACGTAAAACCTTAAACGCGTGGCGCAGGTATATGCAGTGCTAGCGTCAGCATCAAAATTCTACGCAATCATGACTGTGTGCACGACTATTTACACGTTTCGGCTAAGCGAGATCCTTTCGAAGTGCTCGAAAGGTATCGAAATGACGGAAGTTCTTACCAAGTTTCTTAATAATAAATAGCCTTGCAATTTAAAAAGGTTCTGACACGTTATCTCAGCGCGCACCCAGCAAAATCCGAATAGTACGAGCACGAAACAAACGTATGTTTTTGCTATCGGGCGCATCTACACCGGTACACGACTGACGTTGTAGCGGAGCTACCACAGCTCTTAAGTCAGAGGAAGACTACAGGTGAAGCCAGAGGCTTACGACAAACATTCAATTAGTTGTGAGGCTAGTAGCCAAATAGTTTGTGAGGGCTAGTAGCCAATTAGTTCTAAGGAGCTAACATATCAAGTTAAAAAGTCGGCTAGTTCTACAGAACTAGCGCGGACTCTATAAGCTACCGGCTCAGACTACCGTATCTCCAAGAATATACACGCACAATGTGCAAAGGGAGATGCTGGAGTCTAAGGACTATCAGTCCCACGACAGTGCTAAGAAACTGTCAAGTGCAACGTACAAAAGGGTGGAAGTCTACGGACTTCAGCTCAAAAAAGGAATTGAGTTTATTTAGATCTTTTATCAGAGAAAATCCTGCTTTGAGTACCCTATATTATACTAAACTAGAACTGATACAAATATTAGTATTCGAACTGAACGGAAGGTTGGAACATCACTCATTCATCAAATGATGACGGTACAAAGTACTTCCACGGTAAGTACTGTAACTCAGAGAATACCGAATAATCGGTATTCTCTATTGATATAAAATCTAAGACCGCACATATCTCCCATATTACATATGGGAGATCTTCAACCAATTTAGCCGATGGATAGGGTGACCGTGTTACACCGTCTGTCCCAGACTGACGTCTTTACAAAACGTCACTAAACTTTTTTCCTCATTGAGTTGTTACTTTGTAACTTGTCATCATGGATCGACCTGGGCACCTAACGGAAGATAAGGCTCTAGCCGAATTCCTTGGTGTCGAGGAAGTAGGGGATAGCAATGGCAGTTAAATCGCTTACCCAGAGGGAGAAGCAATCCGAACCCATCATGTCTGTGTGTAAACGCATCCCATGTACGGCAACAAATCCGTTCCTTGAACGTGTTGCCGCGACTGCGCTAATAGCGCCGGGTGCGATGTCTAACACGGGCCCATCCATCATCATTACCCACTTGACGAGGAGCAACAACGCAGACTCGATCAGGCGGTAAGTGCATGACACAAGTCAAAATTCTGACCACATTACAGCGACACTGTGAATGCACATTCACTCCGCCTGACGTGGAAGAACGTATTCGTCAAACAGCTGGTCATAATTTGGCAGGGTGCGCCACTGGCCCTGAGAAAAAAAACGCCCACCGAAACGATTGCCGTAAGGCTCTTCAGAAAAGGTATTTGAAACCTACTTTGATGACCTTAAGTGAGTATTGAGAAAGACCCCAGAAAAAGACCAAAGGAACACCATATCCACCGATAAAGGGTATTACTGTTTAAATGTCTAACGGTGAAGATTACACCTCAGGTGTTAATGTGTTCATATGATGGGTACATGGCTTTAGACGCCTCAGTAGTAGGGTGGCTCTAAGAGCAAGTGCCAGTGTGGCCTACGTTCGTCTAAAGCGGAAACTTTGCTACTAATTCGCGAAGTTAAAGGCCAAAGGCCGACTGAGTTAGATATCTCATTCCCGCAATGCTTCGGCTGCTCCTGCAGCCGCGAATTCACTTCCGTATATTTACATAAACCCGACTGCTCTCAATCTGACTATTGAGAAGTGTAGTTATCTTCGAGACAAGCCTAACCGTGGCGCTCAAAATCATCCACAATTTATAGACAGCATTGCCGAAACGGTATCTCATACTCCTATAAGTTCTCAGGCTCGAGATACCCACGCAACTTCACCAGGTATTGGTAGTGACTATGAAGATAACGTCGTTGAAGTAACTTCTCTACATGAAACCGGAGGTTCTTATGCTGATCAAGCAACGACGGTGGCGGTCGGTGTATCTGCTGAAAGCCACTCAAATTTGTTTAAAGATGTGAATAGCCTCCATAAGACTTTGTGTCAAACCCAGCATGCTCTAAAAGAGGCGCAACCTCGTCTGGCGACGCTTGAAGGCGATCACTCCCGTCTTCAGAGCATAGAGACAAATCAGACTCGTGTTGAAGCGTAACTTGATCTCTTAATCCGGATGCAACATCGTAAGGCAACGCCAATATACGCGGCGCCTTCGCCCTCGAGTCAACATGGGACAGATCCCGGTACGGCATAAGCATGTCGACATTAAATACGGGGTGAGAACGCAATTTGCGCGGTAAGATCAGTGT